TTTTTTTTTTTTTTTTGAGACGAAGTTTCGCTCTTGTTGACCAGGCTGGAGTGCAATGGCACAATCCCCGTCACTGCAACCTCTGCCTCCTGGGTTCAAGCAATTCTGCCTAGGCCTCCCAAGTAGCTGGGATTACAGGTGTGTGCCACTATACCTGGCTAATTTTGTATTTTTAGTAGAGACGGGGTTTCTCCATGTTGGTCAGGCTGATCTCGAACTCCTGACCTTAGGTGATCCACCCGCCTTGGCCTCCCAAAATGCTGGGATTACAGGCATGAGCCACCACACCTGGCAGATTCTCCATTCTTTTTATTGAGACATGGTCTTTCTCTGTCACCCAGGAGTGCAGTGGGGCCATTTTGGCTCACTGCAGCCTTGACTTCCTAGGCTCAAGCAGTCCTCCCGCCTCAGCTACCCAAGTAGCTGGTACCACAGACGCATCCACCACACCTGGCTAATTTTTTAATTTTTTGTAGAGACCAGGTCTCACTGTGTTGCCCAGGCTGCTCTTGAACTCCTAAAGTCAAGCCATCCTCCTGCCTCCGCCTCCCAAAATGTTGGGATTACAGGTGGGAGCCACCTGACCTGGCCAGGTCTCCATTCTTGACTAGGTATACTTTCAAAGAAAGTATATTTCAAAGAAACTTTGGGTATATATGACTATGTCCTTATATGTCAGTAATTGATTATTGGCAGGCCGTTTGTCCTTTATTTTTCTTATATAACCAAGTCCAACACTAGTTTGAGTTTGGTCATTTCCACAGATTAGGGCAGTGGTCCTGAAAGTATGCCAACTATTTGGCTGCACTGCTAAAACAAGTAATGGTGGTGCTCTGTTCATCGTGATCTAGTCAAGACAGCAGAACCACCTGGGAATTTACTTACAGGAAACTGACTACATATGTGGAGGACGGAAAGAGCACCAAGGGAGAGATTTGTAACTTGAGGAAACAGCTAACACTCTAGAGCTTAGAGAACAAAGAGGAAGAGATGGATTTGCCACTATCTGAGAGCTCTCAGGAGGGGTTTCAGCCCAGCAGTAACTGGTTTTGGCAGTCTAGTGCTGGGAGAATGGAAGGAATTTGCAAGCAAGGCACAGCTCCCCTCAACTGCTAGAGAGCTACTGACAGAATTGGAAAATAAAATGCCAAGTCCCTCTCCATTTATGCCTTTTAGTCTCTCTTAAATGGACATTAAGGCAAAGGAATCTGGGAAATGTCTTTAACAGAGTCCCAGCCCCAGCATCACAGAATGGAGAATGGCATGGCTGGAGCTGAAACATGACAGGAAAATAAGCAGCATATGATCTTTTTAAAATTTGCTGGAAAATAAGTTTATTCATTTTCCAAGTTTGTTTTTCCTCCCAGAAACTTTTCTTAGAAATGTTATTACTTCCGGCTGGGCATGGTGGTGCACGCCTGTAATCCCAACACTTTGGGAGGTCGAGGTGAGTGGATCACGAGGTCAGGAGTTCAAAATCAGCCTGGCCAATATGGTGAAACCCCGTCTCTACTAAAAATACAAAAATTAGTGAGGCATGGTGGTGCACGCCTGCAATCCCAGCAATGACTGACAAAGCCACAGTGCTGTGTGTCCTCTGGTCTCTGATGAAGTATGACTCCTGGCTAAAGGCTTTACCATATTCCTGTACACATAAAGTTTCTATTTCTATCCTGAGTGTGTCCTCTGATGTCTGATTAGGTTTGACTTCCAACTAAAGCCCCGCCCACACTTTCTGCAAATATAAGGCTTCTCTCCTGAATGTGTCCGCTGGTGTCTAATGAGGTGTGACTGCCTGCTAAAGCCTTGCCCACACTCCCTGCACACATGAGGCTTCCCCCCTGAGTGTTCTCTATGGTGTTTAATGAGAGTTAACTTATCACAAAAGGCTTGCCCACACTCCCTGCACAGAAAGGCACCTGAGTGTGCCCTCTTGTGCCTGAATAGGTTAGGCTTCTGCCGAAACCTTCTACCACACTCCCTGCACATAAAAGGCTTTTCCCCTGAATGTGTCCGCTGGTGTGAGATGAGGGTGGATTTATCATTAAAGCCTCGTCCACACTCCCTGCATACAAATGGCTTCTCCCCTGAGTGTGTCCTCTGGTGTGTGATGAGGGTTGACTTCCGGGTAAAGCCTCGCCCACACTCCATACATACAAATGGCTTCTCCCCCGTGTGTGACCTCTGGTGTTTGTTAAGGTTTGACTTCAGGCTAAAGCATTGCCCACACTCCAGACAGACATAAGGTTTAACCCCTGAGTGGGTCCTCTGGTGTGTTTTAAGGTTTGATTTCCAGCTAAATTGACGCCCACATTCTGTGCATACATAAGGCTTCTCTCCTGTGTGTGTCCTTAAGTGTCTGATGAGGTGTGACTTCTGGCTAAAGCCTTGCTCACAGTCCCTGCAAATGTAAGGCTTCTCTCCTGAATGCGTCCTCCTGTGTCTGATGAGGTGTGAATGCTGGCGAAAGCAACGCCCACATTCCCTGCAAACATAAGGCTTCTCCCCAGTGTGCGCCCTCTGGTGGGTGATGAGGTTTGACTTCAGGCTAAAGCTCTGGCCACATTCCTTGCACACATAAGGCTTGAGCCCTGAGTGTGTCCGCTGATGTGTGAAGAGGTTCGACTTCCAAGAAAAGCCTCGTCCACAGTCCTTGCACACATAAGGTTTCTCCCCTGAGTGTGTCCTCTGATGTGTGATCAGGTTTGACTTCCAGGTAAAGCCTTGCCCACATTCCCCACACACATGAGGCTTTCCCCCAGAGTGTGTCCTTGGGTTTCCGATGAGGACTGACATACTACCAAAGCTCTGTCCCCACTCAGTGTACATGTAAGCTGTCTCCCCTGTTTGTGTTTTCCGGAAGCTAAGGAGGTTTGACTCCTTGATAAAGCCTGGCCCAAACTCTTCATAGTTGATTTCTCCAAATCCTGAAACTTCTAAGCCATGCAATCCTTTGTCTGTTTCCTCAAGGTTGGCCTTCTGTTCAGGGCTGGGCCCTATATGCAGCACTGTGTCATCTTCCTTGGACCATGCTGGCTGTTCTTCAGGTGGGCTGGAGAGTGCCTCTGAAGTGCCACTTTTGCTTACTCTCCCAAACTGGACTTCGGAGTCTTCTCTCTCTTGAATCCATTCTGCTTTGCCACTCAAGCAGAACAGATCTTGCTGCTGTTTCTGATCTGGACAGTGTTTTCCCTGCTGGAGAGGATTTCCTGCACATAAACTTGAAGACAGCTGAGGGAGATGACTCAGCCACACGTGCTGGCTGAGAGCTTGCTGACTGGAGAACATCAGAGGGCAGGAGGGACAAAGTTGAATTTCTGGCTTTGATCCTGCTGAAGAAAGAACATTTTCAGAGGGGTCGTAGGTAGGGCCATGTAGGCAATTTTGCCTCGTCCGTTGGTCATTCATACCATGTTTACATCACAAGCTCTCTCCCAGTTAGACATCCTTCCCAACATTTATTTTTACTTTCACTTCATGCATTACATTTTCTTTTGATGTTGTTGTTGTTTTTGAAACAGAGTCTCGCTGTCGCCCAGGCTGGAGTGCAGTGGTGTGATCTTGGCTCACTGCAACCTCCACCTTCCAGGTTCAAGCGGTTCTCCTGCCTCAGCCTCCTGAGTAGCTGGGATTACAGATGCCCACCACCACGCCCAGCTAATTTTTGTATTTTTAATAGAGAAGGGGTTTCATCATGTTGGCCAGGCTGGTCTCAAACTCCTGACCTCAGATGATCCACCCGCCTCAGCCTCCCAAAGTGCTGGAATTACAGGCAGGAGTCACTGTGCCCAGCCCTATGCATTATGTTTTCTATTGCAAGAGTTGGCAAACTCACCTGGCAGGCCGAATCTAGCCTGACACCTGTTTCTGTGTGGCCTGCCAGCTAAAAATGGTTTTTACCTTTTTAAAAAGGGGTTGAACTCAAAAGAGAGAGACAGAAGAGGAGAGGTGGATGGGGGGGAGAAAGAAGTAGGAGGAGCAGGAGAAGAAAAAGGATGAGGAGAAGAAAGAAGAAATGACAAAGATTGCATGTGTTCTCAAAACTTAAAATATATACTAAGTGACCCTTTACAGAAAGGCATATTGACTCTATCCTATTGCAATGTAGAAAACTCATACAAAACTCTTACTTTCATTTTCACATTATCTGACAAAAAGTATTCACAAGTTCTAGAAATCAACCAAAACGATAAAAATAAATTGAGAAATATTTATTTATGAAAAACACTGGCCTCAGGTAAGAACAGTAAGATTCTGTGACATTATTGCTGGAGTTGCTCTTACCCTCCTCCCCCTCCCCACTAGCTTGGTTAATGCAATGTTTATAGTAGAGCAAGTTATAAAATGGCCAGGGTTGCTGCTACTAGAGGGGACTCACTTGATTTAGAGTGGATGGTGAGGAACCAATGCCCAGTAGAGCTATCATTAAAAGTCATGATCTAGGTCATGAGAGAACAGGAGTGGCCAGCAATTGCTGTCTAAGGCTGCAGTCTTGGTTGACACCAAGAAGACTGGCAGATGATCCAGAAATTTGGCAAGAAGGCTCTTAAAATTAGACAGCCAGAGAGGGGCTTGACAAGCCCTCCACACAACTCTGGCTGACTGGAAGGCCCAGGCAAACCAAGAAAGACAGCAAGTGGGTGGGAGCAAGCTATCCACACATCCCTGCCTGACAAAGAGGCTACAATCAGGGCAGAGGAAAAATAAGATGGCTCAGTGGTAAGTAAAAAGCCTTGAAATCCTTAAAAACAACCTGAACTTTCAATGTACTTCCCAACCCACACACCATTCATACAGGTGGGAAGGCTTCCTGACTCAGATCTTTAAGTGCCAAAGACAGCTTAAAGTGCCAATTCTTGCAGGCCGCTAAGCTCTGCAGCCACAAAGTCGATATCTAGGAAGCCAAGATCGAAAATGAACAGAAGAATAAAATTTTAAAACCATGCAGAAACATCGTTTTCACAGAGGAGACATATTCCACAAATTTAGTCTAGAAAAGTGACTAAACAAAAAGCAGCAATGACAATCTTCAGGCAGGAAATGCATTCAGGTATCAAAGGGAGTGCAACAGAACATCTAAAATATCCAGGTTTCTAAGAGACAGGAAGGAGTAACCCATACTCAGGAAAAAAAGCCGTCAATAGAAACTGTCACTGAGTAGGTCCAGACTTAAAGAAAAAAAAAAAGACCCCAAAGCTGCTATTATAAATATGTTCAAAGGGCTGAAGGAAATGGTGTAATATGGTTTGGCTCCATGTTGCCCACCAAATGTCCAACTGTAATCCCCAGTGTTGGAGGTGGAGTCTGGTGAGAGGTGACTGGATCATGGGGGCAGTTACTTCTGAATAGTTTAGCGCTATCCCCTTGGTGCTGTTCTTGTGATGGTGAGTTCTCATGGGATCTGGTTGTTTAAAAATGTACTCCCGCCACTCTCTTGCTCCTGCTGCAGTCATGTGAAGTACCTGCTCCTACTTTAACTCACGCCAAGACTGTAAGTTTCCTGAGGCCTCCCCAGAAGCTGAGCAGATGCCAGCATCATGCTTCCTGTACAGCCTGCAGAACTGTGAGCCAATTAAACCTCTTGTGTTTGTAAATTACCCAGTCTCAGGTTTTTTTTTTTTTTGAGATGGAGTCTCTCTCTGTCAGCAGGCTGGAATACAGTGGCACGATCTCAGCTCACTGCAACCTCTGCCTTCCAGGTTCAAGCGATTCTCCTGCTTCAGCCTCTGGAGCAGCTGGTACTACAGGCGCCTGCAACCATGCCCAGCTAATTTTTGTAGTTTTAGCAGATACGGGGTTTCACCATGTTGGCCAGGATGGTCTTGATCTCACCTCATGATCCACCTGCTTCAGCCTCCCAATGTGCTAGGATTACAGGCATGAGCCACCATGCCTGGCCAAAGCTTTCTTTATACTAATGCAAGAACAGTAATGCAACATATACAGTGTGTAAAAAAATTAAAGTATAATAACAGTGATTCAACAAATAGAGAATATCAGCAAAGAAAGAAACTGTTAAAGAGAAACCAAAAGAAATTCTGTAATTAAAAAGTAAAACAACCAAACCTTAAAAACTACTAGAGCATATTTGAGTGTACAACAGAATGAGCGAACTTGAAGACACAGCAATAGAAATTAAACTGAAGAACAGAGTAAAAAAAATACTAAAGAGAAATAAAGAGCACCAGAAACCTGTGGGAAGCCATCAGGCAACCAACCTATGTCTAATGGGAACTCAGGAAGAAAAGAGAGAGTAAAGAGCAGAAAAAAATCCCTCAAAAAAAGGCTAAGAACGTCCCAAACTTAATGAAAAACATTGATCCAAGAATCTCAAGGAATCCCAAGTAAGATAAATAAATCCCCAGCTAGATACCTCATAGTCAAACAGGTGGAGAGAATGAAGGCAAGTTGTGAATGCAGCAGGAGAAAGATGACGCAACACGTTAAGTGGGGAAAATAATATGATTCATGTTCCAGCCAAAATGCTAAAGAAGAAGGAGGGGACAAATGAAATGAGGAGGAGGAAACAAATGAAAGGCATCTTAATTGGAAAAGAAGTAAAAAAATCTCTTGTTCACAGATTATGTAATTTTGTATGTATAAAATTTCAAGAAAGCAATTAGAAGTCATCATTGTACTTAGGCCCTAATATAAATATGTAAAAAATAATTGTATTTCTATATATTAGCAATGACTATTCTAAAAATGAAACTGAGAAAACAATACTATTCACAATAGCATAAAAATAATAAAATGCTAAGGAATAAATGTGACAAAGCAGCACAAAGTTGGTAAACTGAAAATTAAGGCTGGGCATGGTGGCTCTTCTGGAATCCCAACACTTAGGGAGGCTGAGGTGGGAGGATTGCTTGAGGCCAGAAGTTTGAGGCCTGCTTGGGCAATACAGTGGGATGAAAAAACAGAAGCAAAAGAGAAAAAGGAAAGGAAAGGAGGAAAAGAAGAAAGTTTTTTTTTTTTTTTTTTTTTTTTGAGATGGAGTTGTGCTCTTGTTGGCCAGGCTAGAGTGCAATGGTGCAATCCCGTCTCACTGCAACCTCTGCCTCCTGGGTTCAAGCGATTCTCCTGCCTCAGCCTCCCAAGTAGCTGAGATTACAGGCATGTGCCACCACACCTAACTAATTTTGTATTTTTAGTAGAGATGGGGTTTCTCTATGTTGGTCAGGATGGTCACAAACTCCTGACCACAGGTGATCTGCCTGCCTCGGCCTCCCAAAGTGCTGGGATTACAGGCCTAAGCCACCACACCCGGCAAGAAGAAAGATTTTTTTAAAGAAAATTAACACTGTTGAATGAAGTTAAAGTTCCAAATAAATAGAGAAACAGTCATAGATTGGAAGGCTCAATATTATTAAGATGGTGATTCTCCCCAAAATTTATTGGTAGACTCAACATTATCATGGTGAAACCCTGTCTCTACTAAAAATACAAAAATTAGCCAGGCGTGTGGGCACACACCTGTAGTCCCAGCTACTCAGGAGGCTGAAACAGAAGAATCACTTGAACCCGGAAGGCGGAAGTTGCAGTGAGCCAAGATCATGCCACTGCACTCCTGGCTGGGTGACAGAACAAGACTCCATCTCAATAAAATAAAGAGGCCAGGCTCAGTGGCTCACACCTGTAATCCCAGCACTTTGGGAGGCTGAGGTCGGTGAATCACAAGGTCAGGAGTTCAAGACCAGCCTGGTCAACACAGTGAAACTCCGTCTCTACTAAAAATACAAAAATTAGCCAAGTGTGGTGGCAGCCATCTGTGATCCCAACTACTCGAGAGGCTGAGACGAGAATTGCTTGAACCCAGCAGTAGGAGGTTGCAGTGAGCCGATCGGGCCACTGCACTCCAGCCCAGGCGACACAGCAAAACTCTGTCTCAAAAAACAAAACAAAACAAAAAAGATAAAGTAGGTAAGCCACAGATTGGAACATCTGATAATATTGGAACATCTGATAATCATTCAATAAATCACTAAATGATTTATTTTAAAAAATTTAAATTAGCAAGAAGAAAAAAACTAAAGAATTGAAAAGTCTTCATAAAAGAGCAAATACCAAGGCCAATGAATGAACATATAGAAGGATGCTCAAACTCAATACTAAGCAAATTACAACTACTATGAGAGGCCATTTCATACCCAAAAATGATCAAAACCTAAAGTCTGACCACACAAAGTATTAGCAAGGACGCAGGGCAACTAGAATCCTCATATGATAAAGTGCTATGTGAGTATAAGCAATTGCTACAGGTTGAATTCTGTTTCCTCAAAAATGACATATTGGAGTCCAAACCCCTAATATCTCAAAAGGTGACTTTATTTGGAAACAAGGTAGTTGCAGATGTAATTAGTTAAGATGAGGTCATTAGAGTGGGCCCTAACCCAGTATGAATAATGTCCTCACAAACAAGGAAAATGTGGACACAGAGACACACACACAGGGAGAATGCTATATGAAGATGAAGGCAGGGATCGGGGTACTGCTCCTCCACACCAGGATTGCCAGCAAACCACCAGAAGCTAGGGGACAGACATGGGCCAGATTCTTCCTCACAGCCCTCAAAGGGAACCTACCCTACCAACACCTTGATCTCTATGTCTAGCCTCCAGAACTGTGAGAAAATAAACTTTGGCTAGGCGTGGTAGCTCATGCCTGTAATCCCAGCACTTTGGGAGGCTGAGGTGGGCAGATCACCTGAGGTCAGGAGTTCGAGACTAGCCTGACCAACATGGTAAAACCCTGTCTCTACCAAAAAATACAAAAATTAGCCAGTTGTGGTGGTGTGTGCCTGTAATCCCAGCTAATCAGGAGGCTGAGGCAGGAGAATCGCTTGAACCCAGGAGGCAGAGGTTGCAGTGAGCCAATGTTGCGCCATCGCACTCCAGCCTGGGCAACAAGAGTGAAACTCTGTCTCAAAATAAATAAATAAACAAACATCTGTTGCTTAAGCCACTCAGTGTGTGGTACTTTGCTGTGGCAGCCCTAGAACACTAATGCAACAACTTTGGAGAATAGTTTGGCATTACCTTATCAGACTGAACAGGTGCACATTCTTTCACTCAGCTGTTCTACTCCTAGGTACATACCCTAGATAAACAAGAGTTTATGTGCCCAAGGGCACATCTATCAGAACATTCACAGCAGCATTCTTTTTTTTTCTTTTTTTGAGACAGAGTCTTGCTCTGTCACCAGGCTGGAGTGCAGTGGTGCAATCTCGGCTCACTGAAACCAAACCTCCACTTCCTGGGTTCAAGCAATTCTTCCGCCTCAGCCTCCCAAGTAGCTGGGACCACAGGCGCGTACCATCACACCCAGCTAATTTTTGTATTTTTGTAGAGACAGGGTTTCATCATGTTGGCCAGGATGGTCTCGACCTCTTGACCTCATGATCTGCCCACCTCGGCCTCCCAGAGTGCTGGGATTACAAGTGTAAGCCACCGCAACTGGCCCACAGCAGCATTCTTTAATTGGTCAAAAGAATACACTGGTAAAAATGTAAATGTCCAACAAAAATGGAATGGATAAATGAATTGTATTATAATTATGCATATAATACAATATTATATAGCCATAACATGAATGAAGCAGAGCTACATATACCAACATAGTACAAAATTAGCATCGGTGAAGAAAGCAAACTATAGCCAGTTGTGGTGGCTCACGCCACCCAGCACTTTGGGAGGCTGAGGCAGGTGGATTATGAGGCCAGGAATTCGAGGCCAGCCTGGCCAACATAATGAAACCCCATCTCTACTAAAAATATAAAAATTAGCCAAGCATGGTAGCACGTGCCTGTAGGCCCAACTAGTCAGGAGGCTGAGGCAGGAGAATCGCTTGAACCCGGGAGGCAGAGGTGGTAGTGAGCCAAGACTGAGCCACTGCACTCCAGTCTGGGCAACAAAGCAAGACTCCATCTCAATTTAAAAAAAAAAAAAAAAAAGCAAAGTACAGAAGAATGCACATAATATGAAGACACTGATATAAAATTTTAAAATATTCCAACAATACAGATGATTTAGTGATTCATACGTATGAAGGAAAGAATAAAGCCAGGCATGAGAATTATAAGTCCCTAATACTGCAAAACAATTCCCTTGGAGGGATGGGTATGGGATACCATCAGGGAAGGGGAAATGGGGGCTTTGACTGTTTAGGTAATTTTTTATTTCTTAAGCTGGGGCACTGGCACATGAGTATGTATGTTATTATCAGTCATAGCTTAAGTATTGTGTAATAAGTTATGGGAAGTGGAGATATGGTGGTAATCTTAGCATACAAATAATTTCTCGACACTAGAAAGTATCTAGAAGGGTTGTAGACTTAATATTCATAAGGTAGATGCAGGTTTGTTTGCTTGGTTTTTTTTTTGAGACAGAGTCTCACTCTGTCACCCACGCTGGAGTTCAGTGGCGCAATCTCGGCTCACTGCAACCTCCGCCTCCTGGGTTCGAGTGATTCTCCTGCCTCAGCCTCCTGAGTAGCTGGCATTACAGGTGCGCACCACCACACCCAGCTAATTTTTGTAGTTTTAGTAGAGACAGGGTTTCAGCATGTTGGTCAGGATGGTCTCAAACTCCTGATCCCATGATCTGCCCTCCTCAGCCTCCCAAAGTGCTGGGATTACAAGCGTGAGCCACGGCCCTCGGCAAGGGGAGATACAGTTTTTAAGATCAGGTAAGAAAGATGACTATGAATGAGAAAAGACTAGGCATTATAGAGAAGCCAAGTGAGGAAGGGAGGCTTCCTGGTGTAGGGAAGAGACAAGGAAACCAGGGAAGTCCCTCCCTCAATTGAAGATTATGTTCCGGAAGGAAGGCCATGTCAGGCAACCTTCCCCTTGGCTTAGGAGGCCTGGAGAAGAGCTTCTTCCCAGTATCTGAGAGATGTCTCCTCCTTCCCTAGCTGCCAAGCTGTAGACTATCCCATCAACCCCACACTGACACTCACCAGGACGGAGGTCCAGAGAACATTTTCTCTCCTCTCTCCAGGGCTCTTCCCCTCGCTCCAGCTGAGCAATGAGTTTTGGTTTGGAACATGCAATTTCTGCTCATAGAGAAGAGAATTATGGGCTCAAGAGGCCATTCAAGAACTCAGAGCTAAATGGGTGAAGAAATGCAGAGGATACAAAAGACCAATGAACAGTTCTCTCTCTGAAGTAGAAGGGTTAACTAAGGAACGGTGACTCCAATCAGAAAAACAGCATATTACTAACAGTTGGTGGATGAAAATCTCCTGGGTTTAGAGCAAAATAAAGTAAAGACAGCGCCCTCAAGCCTTGGGAAAGGGGCCTGGAAATGCAGTGTTATCCATAACATGAATAAATCAATCTATCTGCTTTCAATTCTACTAAATCCAGATTTACCCAGAGGAAAAAGGTAAATTGTTTTAAGCCCAATTCTAAGGCAAAGGTGCTCCACAGGTGGCCCTTCCTCAGAGTGGGAAATACTATGTAGGACAGACTTTAAGTGCCAAGGGAGGCCATTCTTACCCAGTGAGACCAGGTGGTTATAGGTTTCCAGCATCACCTCCCTGTGCAGGGTCCTCTGAGCAGGGCTCAACAACCTCCACTCCTCCTGGGTGAAGTCCACAGCCACATCCCTGAATGCCGCAAATGCCTTTAACACAAAACATACCTCTGTTCATCCAGGAGCCTGTCTTTCCCACAGTTTAGAAGAGAGGTCAAGGCCAGGCGCAGTGGCTCATGCTTGTAATCGCAGCACTTTGGGAGGCCAAGGCGGGCGGACCACCTGAGGTGAGGAGTTCGAGATCAGCCTGACCAACATGGATTAACCCCATCTCTACTAAAAATACGAAATGAGCCCAGCATGGTGACAGGCGCCTGTAATCCCAGCTACTTGGGAGGCTGAGGCAGGAGAATCACTTGAACCCAGAAAGTGGAGGTTGCAGTGAGCCAAGATTGCGCCACTGCACTCTCGCCTGGGCAACAAGAGCAAAACTCTTGACTCAAAAAAAAAAAAAAATGAGAGGTTAAAAGCCTTCCCTCAGGGAAGTAGGAAAGATTTCTAGACCCTGCTTTGGATTGTGACCTTGGCACCAAGGGGTCAAAGACCATTATTCTCCTATCTCTGCCCAGCCAGCATCACTTAAGCACCTATTACTGTCCATATCCCAGGCTGGCTGCCATGGAGGATAAGAACAAACCAAAGCCCTTACACAGAGGGAGTTTTAACACTAGGCAGGCAGAAAAAGAAAACATCACACAAGTACCACCAAATAGTAAAGCATCATCTTGCTGAGCCTGAAAATGTTCTGAGACTGCTTAGTCTCAGTATTTCTTCTACTGGAAGCAGTGACGCCCCTGGGGGTTAGGGGCAAATAACTCACCAACATATATAGTTTCCATAGCAGGACTCACTCCCTCCTCTACCAAATGCTGCCACGTGCCTGCTCAGGCCTACGGAGGGGAAGTGGGTGCTGATGAAGAGTGTGGACTCAACCTGCACTATCTGGCCGGGTGCGGTGGCTCAAGCCTGTAATCCCAGCACTTTGGGAGGCCGAGGTGGGTGGATCACGAGGTCAAGAGATCGAGACCATCCTGGACAACATAGTGAAACCCCGTCTCTACTAAAACTACAAAAAATCAGCTGGGCATGGTGGCGCATGCCTGTAATCCCAGCTACTCAGGAGGCTGAGGCAGGAGAATTGCCTGAACCCAGGAGGCGGAGGTTGCGGTGAGTCGAGATCACGCCATTGCACTCCAGCCTGGGCAACAAGAGCGAAACTCCGTCTCCAAAAAAAAAAAAAAAACTGCACTATCTGGATTTGGAACCCATCTCTGTCCCCAACTAGTGTTACCTCAGGCACTAAATGAGTCACTCAGCATATCAGTTTCTCCTGTGAACTAAAAATAACAGTGCTCATCTCACAAGGTTATGGTGAGGATTAGGATCGCTGTGAAGGACTCAGACAACTGCCTGCTGCACTGCCTGGCCGTTCTATGTAAAATTCCATGCCCTCATGTGGGTTTCCTTCCCCTCTTCTGCTTCACTGTGCTCCTTTAACCGTAAGATAATACATGATACTCATTCCTCTTTTGTGGCTTCCCGCTAGGCTATCAGTTCCACGTGCATGGCTGGTCCACTGTGATTACCCTGGCGTCTACAACAGAATCTGCAAACACTTAGCAGTCAAATATTTTTAAAAACTGAAAATGATTTATTATTATGAGACAAGCAACAAAGTTTCAAATGAACCTCTGCTACCTAGAGAGCAGTACTTTGGAGGGCGGGAATATATAACTGTCCTTGGCATAGAAGTTTGGTAAGCTTTCCAAATGAGTCTGGAAGTTTAGCACCGGGATTCTTCCCAGCCCAATACTTACTCTCTTTGGGTACAATCTGCAGTCCCTAAAGTGGTTTAGTTTGACCCATATAGTGCTTTAAAACTTGTGTTTACATCAATTAAATGTCAGAAGATTTCATATGAAAATCTCAGTCCATGGGTTCTGTAAAATATCCATACATCTGACCACCCTGGGCTCTGCACTGCTGTTGGATCACAGTTGGCTGACGGTGACTCATGCTGGTTGGTGGTCTATCAGCCAAGGCACACTATTGGAGACTGCCTCACCAGCTTCATTCATTTAGGTACATGTCTTATCTCTGATCTGATGTTTTGCATCCCCTTCTCAGAATGCCGCCATCACTCCTTGAGGGTATGACATTGTGTCTCTAAAACTAATTCCACACTGTACCCGTCCCAGGGAACCTCTCCTACATTTCCTGTCCCCTACCAGCAGTACTATTCTACACTGGCTGGACTACGAAATGGCCTTAAGACTATCCACATCCAGTTATATTGATAGCTGTCTCCAAACCAGCCAGTCCCAATGTACTTAATCCCAAGGGAAGAGCACAGATGACTGTGAGCTTTGGTTCTGACCCCTTGTCTCTCTCTGGCTACACTTCAGAGCTACCTGGGTAGTGTTTAAATGATGGATTCTCGAGTCCCACCACAAATCAATAAACCTGGGGATGGGGCTTGTGTATTTTAAAGGCTCCTAAAAGCACAATGATGGTTGTGAATCACTGGGTCAGAGAAATTTCAAGAGGCAGAGGTCACTGTAGGATTGAGGATCAGGAAAGTTCATGAGAAACAGGTAGTCACTGTTGAATCTAGGTGGTGGGTACGTCAGTGTTCAATGTAGAAGTCTTCCTGTTTTTTCTGTATGTCTGAAACTGTTCGTAAGTAAACACTGGAGAGAAAAAGACTATTCAGGCACTTGCCTAGTCCCTGTTGTGCTCTGCTTTCACAACCCCTTCTCGGAACATACAAACACACACCCCTCGAAAATCTCAAATGAAGGAGCTACATTAGAGGGCAATTAATGTTACTTTAACACATTTTACACAACTAGTTATTCCTCCAGCCCTGGAACAATTCATGCTTTGTCTGAGAACCATGCAATGGAAGGCGCATTGTAAACACTGTGGGGCTGACCCTCATGATCCACTCCAACTCTATCCCACTGAGTAGCAACACAGCTAGCAGCTTGGGGGAGTAACTGGTGTAACAGTAATTCACCTGCTTGCCAGCTGAAAAATGAATGATAACCAACAAGCCACAAGAAGCCTGCTGTGGGATTCTAGCAAAAGACTTCTTCATTTGTAAGATGGAGTCACAGGAGGTCAGCACTTCCTGATGCTCAGAAGCATGGGCCCAGATTACCCAAGAGAGGCAGCAGGGCTTAGTGCACTGGCTCAGTATGTGGTCCCTGAACCTGCAGCACCAGCTTTCCCTGGGAACTTGTTAGAAATAAAAATTCTCAGTCCCCATCCTAGGGCTACTGAATCAGAAATTCGGTTGGGGGGAGCCCAGCAATCTTTTTGTTTGTTTGTTTGTTTGTTTTTTTATATGGAGTTTTGCTCTTGTTGCCCAGGCTGGAGTACAATGGCATGATCTCAGCTCACTGCAACCTCTGCCTCCCGGGTTCAGGCGATTCTCCTGCCTCAGTCTCCCGAGTAGCTGGGATTACAGACACATGCCACCATACCCAGCTAATTTTTGTAGTTTTAGTAGAGACGGGGTTTCACTATGATGGCCAGGCTGGTCTGGAACTCCTGATCTCATGATCCAGCCACCTTGACCTCCCAAAGTGCTGGGATTACAGGCGTGAGCCACCACGCCTGGCCTAAGTTGCTAAAGTTCTTTAGGCCACTAAATTGGTACACAGAAGTGAAGTGCTGCCATAACAAAATACCTAAAACACAGTGTTAGCTTTGGGAGCAGGACCTGTGCAGAGGCTTGGAAAGCATCCAGGAAAACTATTAGCACAGGCTAGAAAAGCAGTAAACAAACTGCTAGTGGCGACTAGAAAAATAGTGAGAAAACTGCTCGGGCAGCTTGAATTAGGCAACTCGTGTTATATATTAGCAAAGCTATTGCCTGCATAAACTTGGAAAGCAGAAAATATACCTGATGAATTTTTGAATCTAGCTAAAGAGATCTCCAGAAAGCCTGTTAAAAGTTTCAGCTGGATGTTTCTAGCAACATATAATAGTATCAAGAAACAGAAGAGCTAAAGAAGCAATTATAGAGCTTGCAAGCATAATTTAGAGGGAATATAGACAAGTCAGGACTTGCTGGCTTGGAAAGAAAATTGTTTTGTATCTTCAGTCTCTCCAGCCAGCACGTGTCTCAAAATAAAAAAATACACTCAGAGTAAAGATCAAATCAAGAGTTTAGCTCAAAGACCAAAACTTTAGGACCTCTGAAGTATTAAAGGGATGCCTTGGAGTCTCTAAGCTAGAAAGAAAGGCTTCTTCTGAGAGTCTCCTTTTTTTTTTTTTTTAAGGCAGAGTTTTGCTTTTGTTGCCCAGGCTGGAGAGGTAATGGTGCGATCTCAGCTTACAGTAACCTCTGCCTCCCGGGTTCAAGCAATTTTCCTGCCTCAGCCTCCCGAGTAGCTGGAATTACAGACATGCACCACCACACCCGGCTAATTTTGTCTTTTTAGTAAAGATGGGGTTTTTCTATGTTGGTCAGGCTGGTCTCGAACTCGTGACCTCAGGTGATCAGCCTGCCTCAGCCTCCCAAAGTGCTGGGATTACAGACGTGAGCCACCGTGCCCAGCTGGTTTCTGAAATTCTTATGAGCACTGTCCCACAGTACCGACACCTTGCCAAAGTGAGAGGCCTATCTGACTGTGATTCCACTTCTGTCTAACAGAGCAGTCCCAAATCTGGTACATGGGAAGCCCACAGAGCTTTCAAGGAAGTCCAAAAGGATCTAAAACAGTTCAAAATGAAGAGGCCTCCTCCACGCCAAATTCCTGTCCTTTCTGAATGGAAGTGTCTACTGCAGTGTGTCTCTGTGTATTAGGTTGGGAGTGTTTGGGGTGGAGGGAAACAAATGACTTGTCTTTTTAGTATACAGGTATCTGACTCAAAAGGGATCCACTGAAGAAGCTTTAGCCACATCCAGACTGTTACACTTAAGATACTGGACTTTTGAGTCTGAAGATAAAACTTCTGGGGATCTTGGGAGGTGGGTGAGTTTATCTTGCACATGGTAAGGGTATGAATCACTGGGACCAATAAATCATGTCTCCCTGTATCCACTCACCTATGTTATCCCCTTCTATGATGACTGGACTTGGCCATGTGACTTTCTTTGGCCAAAAGGACATTAGTGAACATGACAAAAGCCAAAACCATAAAAGTACTTCTTACCTGGGGCTGTCCTCTCTTCCTGTGTAGAGAAACCCAAGACCATGTGACCAAGCCCAAGCCCACATGGAAGACAACCAAGAAGAAACTAGGCACCCCAGGCAACCAGCTTCCTAACTGTCACACATGGACAGTCCTCCAGCCCTAGTCAAAATGCCAGCCAACTGCAGCAAAATGTGTGGTCCCAGCAGAATGCCAGACAGCAAGACCAGGTGAAACCTGCAAAACCTACCTGTGCCTGCCCAAACTACAAGCCTACCAAATTCTGTGCTAATAAGTGATTTTAAGCCATTGATGTTTAGGGTTGTCTATTATGCAGCAAAGGCTGATATGCTGATAGAGGAATCATGTCATATGAAAAATACCTGATGACTATCATGACCACTGGCTTGCTGGCGTGACCATGATATCAGAAACTGCTAAGCCAGTCTTGGAGAGCAGCAGAGTCGGTCCTCCCGTTTCTCACTCACTCCTGGGCATGGATTCATTAAATGGGAAAGGGAACCCATTGACCTGACCTATTTTTGTTTTTCTCCCCTTTTTTCTCTAATAAGATAAAAAATGGATGTATCTAAGCTAAAAGTATACATAAGATGACTCCCCTGTGGTAACAATAAATACACCTGCAGACTGAATAATCAGAACATGACATCAGACAACAGGATATAACATTTGAAATGAGGGCTGCCCTAAATATCTCAGATACTGAAATGAGCCACTAAAGGTTTCTGAAAAGTGATGTTACTGCAATGTTGGGGAAACTGAGGATTACAGAAACATGTGGTGGGTGGCAAAGGACCATGTCAACATTTGGAAACAAATGAGGACACTACTGAGAACTTTCACATGAGAAGAAAGAGATCGGAGTTGACAGGTCTACCCTGGTTATCAAAACCTGCACAGTGTAATAATTAAAAGCAAATAAAAAATTGCACAGTAAGGTCAGGTGCAGTGGTGGCTCACACCTGTAATACCAGCACTTTGGGAGGCCCAGATCAAGACAGGCTGAGGCAGGTGGATCACCTGAGGTCAGAGGAAACCCCACCTCTACTAAAAATACAAAAATCAGTCAGGTGTGGTGGTGGGCACCTGTAATCCCAGCTACTCAGGAGGCTGAAGCAGGAGAACTGATCAAACCTGGGAGGCGGAGGTTTCAGTAAGCCAAGATTGATTGCACCATTGCATCCCTGCCTGAGTGACAGAGCGAGATTCTTTCTCAAAAAAAAAAAAAAAAAAAAAAAAAAAAAAAAGGCATGCCTGTAATCCCAGCGCTTTGGGAGGCCAAGGCAGGTGGATCACAAGGTGGGGAGTTCTAGACTAGCTTGGCCAACATGGTGAAAACTCGTCTCTACTAAAAATACAAAAAATTAGCCAGGCATGGTGGCACACACCCGTAATCCCAGCTACTCAGGGCAGATTTATTTTCAGAAAAGCAGGGAATCTGAAATTTTGGGTGAAATGTCCCAATTGCCAAAAGCTGAAAATGCTCTCAAATGTAGAATTCAGGTCAGACTATGTCAAACTCCTCCTTGTTCTATGTGAATAGCTAGTCTGTATCTTCACCTATGCATATTTATTTATTTATTTATTTTTGAGACAGTCTTGCTCTGTCGCCCAGGCTGGAGTGCAGTGGCACGATCTCAGCTCACTGCAACCTTCGCCTCCCAGGTTCAAGAGATTCTCCTGCCTCAGCCTCCCCAGTAGCTGGGACTACAGGCACGTGCCACCACGCCTGGCTAATTTTTTGTATTTTTAGTAGAGATGGGTTTTCACGGTGTTAGCCAGAATGGTCTCCATCTCCTGACCCTGTGATTTGCTGCCTCGGCCTCCCAAAGTGTTTGGATTACAGGCCTGAGCCACCACGCCCCGCCACCTACACATATTTAAAAACCTTAAACCTTAAGCAAGTCCATTAGCCACCATAATCCTTCCACACTGTAGCAAGAGTCCAGCCTTTGAAACTAGCTATGCTTCCTTGCTGCCTCCCACTGGAAAGTCTTCCCTCTAATTTCCAACTTACCAAACCGGTCAGGAGCAGCTGAGACAGCCCTACTTCTGGGAGTCCTCCCCAATCATTTGAAATTAGAGGCATCTCTGCTGTCCCTGCCCTTCATCCACATAACTGAACAATTAAGCATGTATGTCACTGTACTTTTAACTGCTCCATATGTGTTGTTCACAATTAACTACTTCATGAGTGACTGCGGTATGGATGGAGCAGAAAGGAATGCTGAGGGAGAACTTCTGTTAGAATGAGCCCCTCTTCCAAGACTATGAATGAATTTTGCCCATTACCAATTTTTTGCCTCCAGGGCAAGTAAAGGTTATGGGATCCATTCTGTTGACAGGCAAGATGGAATTACAGGTAATTCTCACCTCTTTTTTGGCTCTCAGGAGCTCTGTGGCCATTTTTCTGGTCTCCTGAATGCTCTTCCTGGAGAAGGGCAAAGCCTCAGAAGACAGATCTGGGGATGTGAAGATAAACAAGAGTGGCCTCGGTGGAAACTCCCTCCCCACGAGGTGAAGCACAGTCCGCGCCAGATCCCCACAGCTGGGGTCAGGGATGTCACAGAAATCAACGAGGAAGCCAATTTCTATCCAGAGGGGACCCACAATGACCCAGCACCCTCAAGCTCAGCCTCAAGCTCGGGCCAGGGAGTGAAGTCCTTGTCCCCAAGCAACCGAATGAGGGTTTCTCTGTAACCCTGTGGGCTCGAATCAAAGGAAAATGGCCTGGAGGTGCCCACAGGAGAGCGCCCGAGTACTGAGACAGCTCTGCCACTCCCAACCTGCGTCCCCGTGAGTAACACGGGGACACGCAGAGGGGTATGCTGATTGCCTAAAGGGCACTCACGGAACGCAGGTGCACGCTGCGGATCCTGAAGGCAAAGGTCAAGTAACGACGTGCAGAGGTGTGCAGAAGACGTGAAGAGGGAAGCCTCCCCGAGTATCAACCGGCCTAACGGGCCGCGCCCACTGACCGGAAGTGCTTCTGACGTCAACGCTACGCATTGAAGGGGGGTCGGGAGGGTAGCCGAAGTGACCGCAGAGGCCTCTGGGGATTGTAGTTTCAGCGCTAGAAAGATGAGCAGTCGGCTTCGCGCACACAGGGGGCCTCTGACATCTGCACAGCGTACACAACCAAATTTAGGAGCCCACTGTTAAGATGCTAAGAAAGTGATACTGACAAGTTTCTCTGCTGCCTAATGAGATTTACTGGCCGCCTAAGCATCGCGGGACCGCCGAAGGATTCTGGAAAATGTGGTCCTGGCGCTCTACGGATGACCAGTGTGCTCTGACCTTGAGCTGCAGGTGACTTGAGCTCACCACGCAAGTCTCCGTCCTGGTGCGCCGTTCCCCGAGCAGATGCCAGGTCGGGATGGATGCGGCTCAGGGAGAGACGACGCTCTGCGGGAACTCCTGGCGTGGGGGCGACACCGGCCCTGTATCCCCTAGAGTAGGAGGGTTGCCAGGATAAGGAACCCCAACGCTATTTTTAGGGAGAGCGGGATTGGCTTGGGGCAAACTCGCGGAACGGAGATGGGGGAGACTGGTCGCATGTCCCTAGGATTTTAGGGGATGCAGGCTGAACTTGGGATGAACAGCAAAAGATCCCCTGGTGGTAGCGGTGGTGAGGAACCGAGGCTTGATCCGGAAATTCCCGAGATTTTTACTGAGGCTTGGGTACAGGTGCGGCCTGGAGGAAACTTCCGGAGGGTGGGAGTGGAGGTGGGGTGGTGGTGAAGAGGAGGCAGAATTCTGACCGATTGTTCAACAGGGGTGTATTCTTTTTGCATTGATTTTATTTTTAAAGATATTACATTAAAATACTGTGTATCTTGATTACTGAGGTTCTTTTGTGCCCCTTTAAATTCTGTATCCCCAGGACCGAGCATTTACAGAAGTGAGGCCAGGCTTCTGGGCATCAAGTAGCTGGAAAGTCGCTGAGGAACTTTCTCTGAATTGTTGTTGTGAGTGAGTGATCTTTTCCTTTCCTGACTTTCTTAATATCCACAATTGTAGCCATCCCTCCACAGCCACACCCACAAGCTACCTACAAGGCCTACCATGAAGCACATACTCAAAGATTATTTTTAAACCTTCACACTCCACACCCTCCAGCATGTCTTCCAACATCCCTTTTTGCCTGGAGAAGTAAAAAACAAGGTTGCATGTTAAGTATCAGCCTCTGCCATTGGGTGGGTGTTTAGGAAGGAGGATCCACCGAGAGCCCTATGACCTTGCCAAAGATTTAATATCTAAAAATGTAGAATGCTTGTAAGAGAACTCAGTGGAAACCAAAGCCAGGCATGGGGCTGGGCTTTAAGGAGCACAAATGAATAGGAGGGACTAGAAAACTTCAGAAAGATATGGTGGTGGGGGGTGCAGTGAGGATGTGGGATCCTGATATAATCCAGATCCCTATGTTTAGATATATGTGTACAAAGGGAGTAAAGAGAGACCCAGGCTGATGGGGTATTTGTAATAAATCAAACATAACAAACATAACATAACAGCAGGTCAAGTGACAAGGGGACTCTCAAGTGATAAGCAGCAAAAGGAGTATCAAACTCCACAGAAATTAACCATCAACAAGACACCTAAGAAAGCATTTATGGGGCCGGGCGCGGTGGCTCAAGCCTGTAATCCCAGCACTTTGGGAGGCCGAGGCGGGTGGATCACGAGGTCAAGAGATCGAGACCATCCTGGTCAACATGGTGAAACCCCGTCTCTGCTAAAAATACAAAAAATTAGCTGGGCATGGTGGCGCGTGCCTGTAATCCCAGCTACTCAGGAGGCTGAGGCAGGAGAATTGCCTGAGCCCAGGAGGCGGAGGTTGCGGTGAGCCGAGATCGCGCCATTGCACTCCAGCCTGGGTAACATGAGTGAAACTCCGTCTCCAAAAAAAAAAAAAAAAAAAAGAAAGCATTTATGGCTGCATTAGTTTAAATCAAAGGTGATAACTATCACCTGAGCGCTCCGTGCCAGGTTCAATGATACACCCACACCTGCGTCAGCCTCGGGAATCTGAACCACCTGTCATATCTGTGCTTTAAGGAGTCCTATTTCCCACTCTTAACTGGCTTGAGGTGTGAAAATCCATCTAAATTATATTAAAAAAAATTTAGTCATACCCATCAAGGGAACATGTCTAGTTAAAAAATTAACTCAACATACATAAAAATCAGCAAAAGCAAAAAATTGAAAAAATATTATTTGAAATTAAAAGCCACACCAACCACTGTGTCACTGATAAGTTAAAGAAACTGACCGGCAAACCAGGAAATACACTGGAAGAAGCAATAGTGAAAATATTTTAGATCTAAACCTAGGGAACGAGGCTACCTCAGTGTCCAAAGATATCAGCTGAAGAGTAGTGCCAAAGAAAGCAATAAGTTATTAGCTCTCTACACACTTACAGAAGAAACTTCTCATTTGAAAACCTCAAAGTTTTAGGTAAAGATTATTACAAAAAAACGAAGAACAAACCTCCAGAATCTTGGGTACAGAGGGTGGTCTGGTGGGAAGAGAGGGAATTACTGCCAGCAATGAGTCAAAAAAGTTATTAAAGATTAATTTCAAATGAAAAAACTGAAAACCAAGACTTACAGAATGAAACTAAAACCATGGCTAGAGGAAAACTTTTACACTGAAAGTAGCCATGACTTAGAAATTAAGGCAGAAAACTAAGGAGTTACCAGTTACCCTTCAGATTAGAAAACTAACAGAATAGGGGCCGGGCGCGGTGGCTCAAGCCTGTAATCCCAGCACTTTGGGAGGCCGAGGCGGGTGGATTACGAGGTCAAGAGATCGAGACCATCCTGGTCAACATGGTGAAACCCCGTCTCTACTAAAAATACAAAAAATCAGCTGTGCATGGTGGCGTGTGCCTGTAATCCCAGCTACTCAGGAGGCTGAGGCAGGAGAATTGCCTGAACCCAGGAGGCGGAGGTTGCGGTGAGCCGAGATCGCGCCATTGCCCTCCAGCCTGGGTAACAAGAGCAAAACTCCGTCTCAAAAAAAAAAAAAAAAAAGAAAACTAACAGAATAACAGGAAATCAAAGAGGGAATAAATAACCAGATGGGGCTGGGATGCCGGGTTTATGGGGGAAATGATTCTCCATATTAAAGGAATACAAGAGACAGAAAGAGAAGAGAGGGCAGGAACAGCCTCCCCCCAGAGGTTACTCCAAGGGTGTGGGGGTCTCTCCCTCTCAAGAGGCTGTTTCCTGTGTTTCCTGACTCCCCATTTAAAAAAATTATAGTCTCAAAAAAAAAAAAAAAAAAAAAAAAAAAAAAAAAAGAAAGATGGCTAGTCCACGTTGAGAAATGTTGTGGATGTAAAATACATTTTTAAAAATTCTGAATACTCAATATAAAAGAAAGAATGGGCCGGGCGCAGTGGCTCAAGCCTGTAATCCCAGCACTTTGGGAGGCTGAGGCGGGTGGATCACGAGGTCAAGAGATCGAGACCATCCTGGTCAACATGGTGAAACTCCGTCTCTACTAAAAATACAAAACATTAGCTGGGCATGGTGGCACGTGCCTGTAATCCCAGCTACTCAGGAGGTTGAGGTAGGAGAATTGCCTGAACCCGGGAGGCGGAGGTTGTGGCGACCTGAGATCGCGCCATTGCACTCCAGCCTGGGTAACAAGATTGAAACTCTGTCTCAAAAAAAAAAAAGAAAGAAAGAAAGAATGGGCTGGGTGTGGTGGCTCACATCTGTAATCCCAGCACATTAGGAAGCCAGCACAGGAGGATTGCTTGAGGCCAGGAGTTTGAGACCATTCTAGGCAACATAGCAAGGCATTGTCTCTTCAGAAAATAAAAAAAAATTAGGCCAGGCACGGTAGCTCATGCCTGTAATCCCAGCATTTTCGGAGACCAACCCAGGTGGATCCCTTGACGTCAGGAGTTCGAGACCAGTCTGACGAACATGGTGAAAACTTATCTCTATAAAAATACAAAAATTAGCCAGGTGTGGTGGTGTGCACCTACAGTCCCAGCTACTAGGGAAGCTGAGGTGGAAGAATCACTGGAACCCAGGAAGCAGAGGTTGCAATGAGCCAAGATCATACCACTACACTCCAGCCTGGGCAAAACAGTGAGACCCTATCTCAAAAAAACAAAAAAAGGTCCGGTGTGGTAACTCAAGCCTGTAATTCCAGCACTTTCAAAGGCTGAGTGGGGTGGATCAGCTGAGGTCAGGAGTTCAAGACCAGCCTGGCCAACATGGTGAAACCCCATTCCTACTAAAAATAACAAAAAATTAGCCAGGCATGGCGGCGCACGCTTGTAGTCCCAGTGACCCCAGAGACTGAGACAAGAGAATCGCTTGAACCTGGGAGGTGAGGGTTGCAGTGAGCTGAGATCGCATCACTGCATTCCAGCCTGGGAGACAGAGCGGGACTCCATCTCAAAAAAAAAAAAAAGTCAAAAAGAAAAAAAACTGACACTGGTGAGGCTGTGGAGAAAAAAGAATGCTTATACACTGTTGGTGAGTGTGTAAAATAGTCCAGCCAGTGTGGAAAGCAGCCTGGAGATTTCTCAAAGAACTTAAAACAGATCTACCGTTTGACCCACTAATCCCATTACTGTGTATCTACCCAAAAGAAATCATTCTACCGAAAAGACACATGCACTTGTATGTTTGTTTATCACAGCAGTATTCACAATAGCAGACATGGAATCAATACAGGTGCCTATCAATGGTAGATTGGATAAAGAAAATGTGGTACATCAAGCTCATCTGAACCATGGCCTATAGGCTGCGTGTGGCCCAGGATGGCTTTGAATGCTGCCCAACACAAATTCATAAATTTTCTTAAAACATTATGGGATCTGGGGGGATTTTTTTTTTTAGCTCATCAATTGTTAAGTGTATTTTATGTGTGACCCAAGACAATTCTTCTTCTAATGTGGCCAAGAGAAGCCAAAAGATTGGACACCCTGTGGTACATATACACCATAAAATACTATGCAGCCATAAAAAA